ACAAAATGTTTGTTATCGACCAAGTTATTCATTGCAGTGTCACCACAATTGATGACAATAACCATTTTTATATCTCTGTTGTTTATGCTTTCAATACAACTCTGCAGAGAAGAAGTCTATGGTCTAACTTGGTTGCCCAGTCCTCACTGATTAGCCATTCTTCTTGGTTAATTCTTGGAGACTTTAATATCATCAAGCATCTTAGGGAGAACTTTGGAGGCTCTGACAGGTGGAACACTGGCATCAATAATTCAATGAATGCATTCATGATGCTGAGTTTACTGACCTTAAGTTTTCTGGTCTCTTATACACTTGAACCAACACAATTTTGGGTATTGCTAATGTGACACAGAAACTTGATAGAGTATTAAAAACTGACAAGTGGGCCTCCTCTTTCCCTACGTATTGCTGTGAATTCCTTCAATATTGGGTCTCTGATCATTCCCTAATGGTTGTCAAGTGTGGGATCCAGAATCTAAAGAAGAAGCTTCCTTTTAAATTCTTCAACTTCCTTGCTGACCACAAAGACTTTAATGATACAGTGGCTTCTATTTGGTCTAAGCAGGGCAATGGTACTACCATGTTCTAGGTCTACCATGTTCTAGGTTGACATGAAGTTTAAGATGTTTCAAGGTAAATTGAAATAACTCAATACAAAGAACATAAGTGAAATTTCTTAAAGAGTTGCTGCTGTTAATGAAGACTTAAAGAAGTGCCAAATCTCTCTTGACGTTGATCCTTCTAATGACCTTTTGAGGAGGTCAGAGAAATGCCTCTTACAACAGTACCTTAAACTCTCTAAAGTAGAGGAGCAATTCTTCCAGCAGAAGGCCAGGATTAATTAGTTAAAGATGGTGAGCAGAACTCCAGCTTCTACATGAAGAGTTTCAATACTAAATGCAACAAAAAAAAATCACTAGTCTCACTCTTCCTAATGGTGAAACTATTGACTCTATTCCCACCATAAAAACTAAAGCTTTGAGTTTCTTTATCGACATGCTTAGGAGCAGTGGCAATCAATACTCTGGTTCTCAATCAGTTAACTCCAAGTTCTGTAAGTCCTTTCTTGAATCATTTTATGATGATTTTTTTATGCATTCCTTCATTGGAGGATATTCATCAGTGTTTATACTTTTTAAAGAGCTCTAAAACCCATGGTCCATATGGGTATAATGCTTATTTCTTCAAAAGAGCTTGGCATATTGTGGGAGTAGATGTTTCTAATGATGTGAGGGAGTTCTTTGTCAATAGAAAATTACTAAGGGAAATCAATTCCACTTACATATATCTTGTCCCAAAAATCCCTAACCCAACCACACTAAACGACTTCATGCCCATTTCTTGCGGCAATACCATAAAGTCATCTCCAAGCTTATTTCTAGAAAGATTCAACCCATCCTCCCTTCCTTGGTTGATAAATCGCAAACTACCTTCATTAAATGTAGGAAGATTAGTGATAATTTTTTCATTGTCCAAGAATTATTGAAAGGATACCATTATTCCTCTTCTTCCCCCCCAAATGCACTGTGAAGGTGGACCTTTGGAAGACATATGTTTCAGTGAACTAGCAATTTTTGATTCATATCCTCAACCCTATCAAGTTTCATCCTCCTATTATCAAGTGGATCTCAGATTGAATATCCTCCCCCTCTTACTCTATTTTCATTAATGGAGAGCTTGTAGGGTATTTCATAGATACCAAGGGCTTAAGGTAGGGTGACCCCTATCTCCCTTCATTTTTGTCATCATCATGGATGTCCTATCATCATTTATCAACCATGTTATCCATGCCAACCCAAGTTTCACTTATCACTGGATATGTAAGAAGTACAAACTCCCACACTCGTGTTTTGCTGATGACCTGTAATACCCCGTGATTTTAGAGGAATTTTTAAAGGATTTATTAATTTATTTTATTTAGATTAATTATTTAAATTAATGGTTTATGCATATTTAATTATTTATTATTTATTGTTTGATTAATTAGTAATGTGAATTTAAATATTTATTTACCAACAGGACTGTGACCTAGCGGTACAAGGCTCCTACTTCCCAAAGAGAGGTCAGGGGTTCAAACCTCAGTGGAGGCAGTGTATGTGAGTCTCAACTAGGAAAAAAATAAAATATTTAAATATTTATTGTTTGATTAATGAAGTTTTAATTATCAAAAAATTAAGGATGGATTTTATTTATTAATTATAATTCCTTTCCGCTTTTAATTCATTTATATTATTATCATTTTGTACTATGTGCTTTTTTATTATCAACTATTTTTTATATTTCCTAATTTTCATATGTAAGCCTGACCAACTTACATGTGGAAATTAGGGGGTATCACAGTTGGTATCAGAGCATTCTGGGTTCGAAGGTTCTAAGGATCTTTCATTACGATATTTTCACTTTGCGTATTATAATAATTAGAGCCTAAGTTTTAGGATTCACTGTAGTCTGTTTTTTGGTCTGTTATTGTTCATTGGTACTAGTTCCCACTGTCTTATGAGATGGCAGACTATTGGAGGAGAAATGCAAATGGGAATCGCGATCAACCTCAATATCAATTATAAAGAGAATCCAGAACATTCCCCATTAGGAGTGGTATGAGTCTACGTGGGAGTTATAGGCAGGTCACCATAGATATTGGTAGACTCAGCTTTCTAGCTAACCTATTGGTCTTGGATATGCATTGATATGATGCGATACTTAGGATGGACTGGTTATCTCTATACTATACTCAGGTTAATTACCATAACAAGTCCATTGCGTTTACTATACCAGGACAGGCGATGCATCTCATCGCCATGCCATAACCCAAAGGGGCGGTGTAGCACACATTTGTTTTACATGGAGGAGGAGTCCAAAGTAGAAACCATTGTATCTCTTAATAGTATACCAGTAGTGCAAGAGTTTTAATAAGCGCTAAAAAGTGCGCATTTAAACCCCTTGAGCTTGAGTGTTCTAGGACCTTATTCTATCTTATTTTTTCGTTTTAGTCTAATTTTATGTTATGTCCCTTTTCAGACACTTATCCCCAAAATAAGTTAATTCAGCTGAATTAGAGCATTTAAAGAAGTAATCTCAAGCTTAGTAGAAGGAAGGAGCAAAGTGGAAGCAAAGTGGTGCAAGTGGCCCTCTTCGATCGATCGAACCAATCTCCGATTGATCATATTGTGATCATTCCAACCATGCTATGATGGATTTAGCCTTCTGTCCTTATTTGCAAGAAAATTTTCCTTTCGATCGATCCAACCTTTCTTTTGATCGATCGAATATTTTTGATCTTATCCCCATCTGTCACTTTTGTCCTTTTCCCAAAAATATCCTAAAAATATCTCAACTTTGCCATTATCCAAAAAGACACTGCCATAGTTCGATCGATCTAAGCAACCTTGTGATCGATTGAATTGCCTCAAGTACGTGAAAAATAGAATTCCAGCCAACTTAAAGGTGTGCTCGTGGTGCAACCATTTGGAGGTCCTAGTGCACGAGGTCTGACCATTGGGTGTGATATTTGAGATACCTATATAAGGATTTTTTGCTATTTTGAGTAGATATACAATAGAGAGGCTAGAGATTAGAAAAGAGATATACACATTTTGGGAAAGTTCTTCCACTCATCTAAGGTTTCTACCAAGAACACAAGAAGAGGAAAATGATTTCTACCATGGAGATAACCCTTGAAGGTTGGATGATAACATCAATGAGTGGCTAAACCATTCTCTTGGGGCTAAAGATAGCCCTAAGCATGCCTCCTACACTTTGATGTTTATAATTAATGGGGATTTGTGTTGTAATTATTGTCTTGACATTTTATATATATAAATCTTGTTTCTATAATGATTTGTGTAGCTTAATACTTTCAATTGATTATTTAGTTTTATCCATATGTCTATGTATGCTAGAATGAATGTTCATGTGTTTATTTCTAGATTTTATGACATTGATGTATGTCTATGTGTGTTGATATTATGAATCTAATGATGATCAAGGCATAGTGTTTAAATAGATTACTCTAGTGGTTTATTTGATGATTCATACTTATTTCTTAATGGATTGTGCCACCTCCTTAGCTTAATTAGTTTAATTTTCATATCATTAGCTTAGTTGTAGTGTAGTTGTCATACTTTCTTAGATAGGTAGACAATCCATGCTTGTTGTTTGATGTTCCATGCTTGTGAATACAAGTAGTATATTTCTCTAATTTTAATGAGTGTGCATTAATTGCGGACTTATGGAAGCATTAATGGCTTAATTTGATATATTGTACTATTCACTAGATTGACTAGTTAATGTATGTTTACTTGGCCATCCATGCTTGATATTCAATTAGTGGCACACACTTTCATTTACAACATATAATCCCCCTAATCCATCAAATATTGAATGTTTAGGAAACTAATGCTTAGTGGTGAACTCTATGTCCCAAGACTTCTCTCTCATATTCTCTACACCTTATTCACTTTAGTTATTTTACATTACATTTGTTTAGTTTAAATCATAGTATAATTCATCAACCAACCATCTTTTGATCATTCGACTTACTAATGCAACATTGATTTCCAATAAAAAAAAATATGCCTCCTTTCCCTTGGGATGATCCCTACTTACTCTAGCTATATTAATAATTAGTAGTGGTAGTGTCATTCTATAAATTCAAACTTGACCACATTTTATTTCACCACATTTTTGCAACTGGGTGTTATACCCCCGGATTTCCGAATACGGGTTGTCCAGTCCCACGCCCGAATACCCAAGTATATCAAAAACAAATCGGCAATAATCGAACACAGAATACAAATATAATAAAAAGGGAATAAAAAAAATTTCTAAAAGAAAACTAAAATGATAATCCATTAACAAAAACCTCAGAACAAATTTTTAATACATAAGAAAATATTCTGATACATCCAATCCTCCATTACTAATACAACTTGGGAATCCATCTGGTGAACTCTTAATAACATGAAACCACATAAACACATAGTCCCGTAGACAACAAAAAATGCACAAGAAATAAAAATTTAAATTTCAATTATATCCTTTTGAAAACTATGGGTATTACACTGGGTACGGATGTCATGCCCCGAATTTTTTCTAAATAAAATCCTCGATTTCATTAAATCAAAATACTTCAATATAAAATTCTCTTTATTGATACAACAATCAATTTTCTCAATATTAAAATACAACATCTCTAAATAATTAAATTAATTTAATTCCTCGACACCAACTCTTCCACCTAAGCCCGCAACTAGCAATCCAAGCTTATCCTCGATACATGAAACTGTAAGGGGATGAGACGGGAAAAGTCCCAGTAGGAAAAACCATAACAAGAATCTCAAGGAATTTTATGAAAATTAGCTTCACAAAATATAAATATATTTTTGAACAAAAAATATATATATGCAATTTAACAAAACAGCATTAACAAAATATTTGAGATAAAATCACCCAAACAATTCAAGGTATAAAGAACCCTACTCTGCAAAATAATTTTCTCCTCGTCGGATCATCAAGGCATAAGTCCAGCCCACTGCATAGACTCTCGGCTGACCTCAAACTCTCTTTGTATTTCTCAAATATTTCTCTTCTATGTCTAATTTATTTCCTTATCATTTTCCAAAGCACAAACTGATACAACAATATATATAGGCAATGCACCGACACTATACAATAATATCTCACTGCAATTTGCAAACATATCACCAACTGGGCCCCGCCACCTAATCACTTCCATCTCGACAGACACTTATTTCCTTCCCCAACATTTCTTATCACCTTATCAGGTTGTTTCATCTGCTTCTAACAACCATCTCCAAGTTCCAACAAAAATCAAAGCCCATTAACATCATTAGGTGGGCCCCACGAAATAACCATTTCCATTTGCTTCTCTTTTCTCATTTCCCACGGCTGGTACCTTGCTGCCACCATTTTCTTTATTTTCTTATCTCTTTTCACTTAGCCGACCTAATCCATTTTCCTTGCTTTTGTCAGCAGCCCACCTGCTCCATTGTATCATTTCAAATGCACTGTATATTATATATATTATATATAAATACAATTGCATAAAACAAATCCATTCCCACTAAATATCTCAACCCACCAAACACACCATTTACCATTTCAATTTTTGCTTTCTCTCAATTTCGCTGGCAGCACCATTTTGCACCAAATATATATATATATATTATATGCAACAAATTAAAACATAAATCAAGTGGGCCCCACTAAAACATCATTACATCAATTTTAATTCTCCTTTCTCTCTTTCATTCGACAGTGCACCATCAGATTACATACATATATATATTTATATATATAATATGTAACACAATTACTAAATCAAACCCATTTCTCTTCAAAACCAACAAAGCCATGTGACACCCGCATAAGCTATCACCAAATCCCATTTTTCCATTTCCATTTCCCACTTTCGGCAATCTGATCACTTCATTTCCTTCAATCAGTACACAAAAAATATAACAACAAAAAAAATCAACCCATTATCTCACCTCCAATTTCGGCGCCCATGCTTCCCACCTGATGCCTTGTATAAATATAATTATATGTATACAAATGCTACAAAGATTAAACCAACACAAGTTTAATTCTTATAAACTGCAATATCATATCCAAAAATCTAATGGGTAAGTCTCCGATAAAAAATAAAAAAAAATCAATAACCCAACCTTCAATTGGTAAATCTCCAATTAAAACAAAATAATTAATTTTGTCAATCAAAAATTAAGAAATAAATATAATTTAAAATCTTAAAAAAAAATTGGGTTGTCACATTCTCCACCACTTAAAAGAATTTCGTCCCGAAATTCAAATCCAACGATTTTCGTATACCTGAAAATATCAAAAGTGGTAAAATAAAATCCAAAAATCTTTACCCCAGGCGATGTGAGATACTGTGACATGAAAAACATTGTGGTAACTGACAGTACTAGTTACCCGCCCACACACTCCGTAACCGTTGTGATAACTAGACGATATCGTCACCCGCCCACAAAATAAAACTAATAGTGATCTAAGGACACCTGCCCCTAATCACCGATAGTAATCATCGTAATAGCTGCCTGCCAGTGAACGACATCCGGACACATACACCCGGCTACAAGTGGTAACTAGTCAATCCTAAATACTCGCCCACACACACCCGATAACATCATCACTAAACTCACACTTCCGGCTGAGTACAGGCTCTGATACCATTCTATCTGATACCATTCTATCATGCCCTGAATATTTTCTAAATAAAATCATTGATTTCATTAAATCAAAATACTTCAATATAAAACTCTCTTTATTGATACAACAATCAATTTCCTCAATATTAAAATACAACATCTCTAAATAATTAAATTAATTTAATTCCTCAACACCAACTCTTCCACCTAAGCCCTCAACTAGCAATCCAAGCTTATCCTCGGTACTTGAAACTGTAAAGGGGTGAGATGGGGAAAATTCCAGTAGAAAAAATCATAACAAGAATCTTAAGGAGTTTCATGAAAATTAGCTTCACAAAATATAAATATATTTTTGAACAAAATATATATATGCAATTTAACAAAACAGCATTAACAAAATATTTGAGATAAAATCACCCAAGCAATTCAAGGTATAAAGAACCCTACTCTGCAAAATAATTTTCTCCTCATCGGATCATCAAGGCATAAGTCCGGCCCACCGCACAGACTCTCGGCTGACCTCAAACTCTCTCTGTATTTCTCAAATATTTCTCCTCTGTGTCTAATTTATTTCCTTATCATTTTCCAAAGCACAAAATTGATACAACAATATATATAGGCAATGCACCGACACTATACAATAATATCTCATTGCAATTTGCAAACATATCACCAACTGGGCCCCGCCACCTAATCACTTCCATCTCGGCAGACACTTATTTCCTTCCCCAACATTTCTTATCACCTTATCAGGTTATTTTATCTGCTTCTAACAACCATGTCCAAGTTGCAACAAAAATCAAAGCCCACTAACATCATTAGGTGGGCCCCGCGAAATAACCATTTCCATTTTCTTCTCTTTTCTCATTTCCCACGGCTGGTACCTTGCTGCCACCATTTTCTTTATTTTCTTATCTCTTTTCACTTAGCCGACCTGATCCATTTTCCTTACTTTTGTCGGCAGCCCACCTGCTCCATTGTATCATTTCAAATGCTATGTATATCATATATAATATATATAAATACAATTGCATAAAATAAATCCATTCCCACTAAATATCTCGACCCGCCAAACACACTATTTACCATTTCAATTTTTGTTTTCTCTCAATCTTGCTGGCAGCACCATTTTGCACCAAATATATATATATATATATATATATATATATATATATATATATGCAACAAATTAAAACATAAATCAAGTGGGTCCCACTAAAAATCATTACATCAATTTCAATTCTCCTTTCTCTCTTCATTCGGTAGTGCATCATCAGATTACATACATATATATATTTATATATATAATATGTAACACAATTACTAAATAAAACCCATTTATCTTCAAAACCAACAAAGCCATGTGGGACCCACATAAGCTATCACCAAATCCCATTTTTCCATTTTCATTTCCCACTTTTGGCAATCTGATCACTTCATTTCCTTCAATCAGTACACAAAAAATATAATAACAAAAAAAATCAACCCATTATCTCAGCTCCGATTTTGGCACCCATGCTTCCCACCTGATGCCTTGTATAAATATAGTTATATGTATACAAATGCTACAAAGATTAAACCAACACAAGTTTAATTCTTATAAACTGCAATATCATATCCAAAAATTTAGTGGGTAAGTCTCCAATAAAAAACAAAAATCAATAACCCAACCTTCAATTGGTAAATCTCCAATTAAAACAAAATAATTAATTTTGTCAATAAAAAATCAACAGATAAATATAATTTAAAATCTTAAAAAAAATTCGGGTTGTCACAACGGACACACACCAAGTTTCATGATATCTTTTAGGATATTCCAAAGATTAGATTCAACAACTTCCTAGTCAGAGGTTTATTCCTAGGAATACTTCACCATGGGGAGTGCCGATGTTGCTTGTTAAGAAGAAGGATAGGTCTCTTTGTCTTTATATAGACTATAGGGAATTGAACAAGGTCATAATCCGCAACAAGTATCCGTTGCCAAGGATTGATGACCTATTTAATTAGTTGATGGAAGCCACTTACTTTTTGGAGATAAATTTGAAATCTTTACATTGAATCATGCTCTTATCTTCGACCCCATTAAAAAAAAAAAAAAAAAATTCTTTTGATCAATAAAAGATTCATTTGTAGTCTTGATGATTGGTATTTAAGATTGGTGATGAGTACTGAAAAATGCATATTTAAACCCCTTAAGCTTAAACGTTCTAGTACCATATCCTGTCTTATTTTCCTATGTTAGTCTAATTTCATGTTATTTCCCTTTTTAGGCACTTATCCCCAAAATAAGTTAATCCAGCTGAATTAGAGTATAAAAGATGCAATCTCAAGCTCAATGGAAGAAAGGAGCAAAGTGGAAGCAAGTTGGTGAAAGGAAACACTCTTCGATCGATCGAACAAAGCTCAAATTGATTACACAATGATTGTTCCAACAATGCCAAGATGGATCGAGCCTTTTGTCCCTATCCTTAGCAAAATGCTTTCTTCGATCGATCCAATAATTCTTCAATCGATCGAACATCTTTGATCTTATCCTCACCTACTACTTTTGTCCTCTTCCCAAAAAATATCTCAACCTTGTCTTTATTCCAAAAAGGCGCCGCCAAGGTTCCATCGATCAAACCAACCTTGAGATCAATCGAACTATCTCGAATTGCGTGAAAAGTTGATTTCAAGCCAAATTAAATATGTGCTAGTGGTGCAATCATTAGGAGGTCCTAGTGCACGAGGTCTAACCATTGAGTGTGACATTTGAGCTACCTATATAAGGAGTTTAGCTATTTTGAGTAAGGAGGTTGATGAGATTAGAGAGACTTGGCTAGAGATTAAAGAGAGAATACACAAATTGTGACGGCCCAAGATTTCCAACTCGGTGGGTCAGTGATGAACTGAAAGATGACCCGATAACGGATCCGAAATGCGGAAGCAAAAGACAAACAACGGTCTCTAGAAATACAACATGGCTCTAAGACACCATCATGACCCTCAACGAGGTCACAGAACCCAAAGGAATCAAATGCGGAAGCAACGTTTCAAAAAAGAACAAGAATGAACCTAGGGGCAAATTTGTCATTTTCAGCTTAAAATTGGGTGCCACTGAGCACACCATTAGAAAGACAACGAAAAATCAATGAACTTAGACTCAAAAATCACTTGATTTGGAGTCCGGATGAAGAAGATATGGCTAACGGAAGAAACAGGGGCAAAACGGTCAAAAAATACCAACCCAAGAACATCTAACCAGTTAGATGGCCTATTTAACCGGTTAGAAGGCCAAAAAATTCAACCAAAACACTGCCCATGCACATGTAACCGGTTACGAAGCCCCATCTAAACGTTTAGATGTGAAGGGGCAGTAAGGGTGCGACCCAAAAACCTGGTAGCAGGGGTTTTTCTGGGAAAAATGGAAATTTGAGGGCCTAGATGACATTTTCTGAAAAAACTCAAAGAAGAAACCTCTCTCAAAATCCAGTTTTCTACGTGACTCGTGAGAAAAATAAAAAAAATACACAATTTAAAATACCCAAAATGCTCTGTTAAGAAAACTGGTCCAGAGGGTCTAAAAAGCTGCTAAATGGAAAAAACAGAAGCTGAACTTCGGGATCGATTTCCGATGCCAAGACGACATTTTCTGGAAAAACATGAAGAAGAAACCCCCCCTAAAATCACATTTTCTAAGTGACCATATGAACAACGGAATTTATTTTCTAAAAAAAATTCCCAAAATACCCTTAGGTCAGATTATGCAACAAAAGTGTAAAATGAGTCCGTTGGAGGCTCAAAACACAAACGATGAGGTTTTGCCCGGAAATGACTATGCATGCAAACGTAACTTACCTATTTAGACGTGTTACAATGGTCCATGGCTTAAAAATATAGTCGATGCAAAATCCGACCCCTCAACGGGCAAAAAGGCAAAAAATGGAACTTGGAACAAAAACTCGGACTTCAAAATTACGAAATAGTTCCAAAATACCGTTTGGCCATTGGCCACACTTCGTACAAGATTAACAAGACCCTAGGGAAGAATCAAAATGGAATTCCCACACCCGATGCAAAAGCAATGAAGAAATATCTTAGCATTTTTCAACATTTCCATAACAAACCTCGAAAACTAAAGTGCATAAAAAACAAGATACATGTCATTGGCCTCTGGTCTCATTATATACATGTTAAATACATTGTAAAGAGTGTACTCATGTACACACTACATATATGGAATCAAATAATATATATTTTGGTACATAAGGTTACAAAGAGGCATTTTATGCTAACACTTGCATAAAATGGGAACTTAAAAACTATAAGCCATCTAAGGAGCAATGAGCACCACGAACCAAGTCTTCATACTTGAAAAATGTCCCCACTACGTGGGTGAGTAACATAAAGCTACTCGTCGGAAGTGAGTATACATCGACCTAGCGTTTTACAAATTATCACCTTATGGTGAAACATGTTAAAGGGCTCATGCCACCTAACGTTTACATCAATGTGTGACTCAGGGAACATCCTAAGCTACCTAAGATCATTTCTAGCATGAAACACATCATTCATGCAATTCAAGCAACATGGAAGCATGTTATACAAAGCAACAAGACATAGATTTTCAAAGTTATGAACTCGAAATCTAAAACACAAGAATTACCAAAATGGGTCATGCCACCTAACGTCTATGTTCCAAATGAAATTATAGGATCATTCCTAAGCCATATTTGAACATCAAAACACGAATTATGACATCAATACACTTTAACCAACATTGGAACTTCCAATACAACGCATAAAGCATGATTTCACAAAGTTAACATCCTGCAACAAAATATGGAGAATCAAATAAGAAATAATAAGTTATAACATCATATAGTTATTAACTTGAAACGAAATGCGAAATCAACCAAAGTGGATACTTGGACGTCACGCCGAATCAAACCGACACCATAGTTACTTTAGGGTTACTAGCCCACGGGTAACCTCCCTATGTGCGCACTAGACTATATAGAGGGACAATCCCCCGTACTAGAACCAAGTCATAGCCGTAGCCAAACAACGACATCCCCAAGTTTCTAAAATAAACAAGTTGTGCAACAACGTATATATCAACATGTATATACAAGATATCAACTATCTATCAAGTACAACCAAATTTGGAAACATATACAATACATGCACAAAGTCCACAACTACTATGGCATGAAAAATATCCAATACAAATAGTGCAATTTCTTACATAAGGCAACAACATATTCATTAAGGAAAACACATTCTCATGAATATTAATATAACAATTATGTTATCCAATGCTCAAAATATAACCAAGTGAACATACAACAAGTCCAAGTCCATGATTTAAACATAGAAACAACTTCCAAAACGTAATAAAATCCATGGAGCAAATATATATAATTTAATTAAGCAAAAATAATCAAATTCTCTAGATTCTAAATTAATTCCAAATAACCCCAAATTAATATATGTTGAAGGACATGTCATGGTCATCACATATATAACTCCAAACGATCAATTAAGTGATTAAAACACTTAAAGCAAAATTAATTAAGCTAATTAATTAATTTCCTCTAGATTTTTAAACAATTCTAAATGCTCTCAATTTAAGATATGTTAGAGAACATGCCAAGGCCTATCTAAATATCACATTACAACTTGATTTCATGCTTGTTATGATCATGTGAATTAAACTTTCACCAAAGATAAATATTAAATAAAATTTGTAATTCTTAACCAAATGATTCAAATTTAATATATGTCAACAACCATACCAAAGCCAAATTTTCTAGCATGTCACAATCTAATTCCAATTTACATATCATCATGGAAATTAAACCTTAAACAAAGAAATTAATTAAATTAATTTCTAGATCTTGAACTAAAGCATGCATACAAGTTGTATAAGCTCATATAATCATCAATACAACACAAATATAATCCTAAGACACCCCCTACCTCCATTTGAGATGAAATCTCAAATCCCCACCAAAATAAATCGGCTCCGAATCCGATGAAACTCCAAGGTTTTGTCGGGGACAACACCACGAACATGAATCCCAAGGAAGCCCCATCAAAAACACAACTTGACTTCAAACCCGAACTCAAGAAACGGCCAAAACAAGATTCCAATCGGTTGGAATCGAAGGCCTCG